TGAGCTTCTCTGGAAGAGCTTGCTAAGGTAGCAAACTTTCTTCTTCGTTCCCTCTCTTAATCAGCTGCATAGGGAGGTGGGGAGGGAGAGAAGAGGAAGAGACAGTTTCTCACAGTTCAAGTCTTTGTTTTCTCTCTAGTGAAATATGTTCTATGGCAATACGGCTGGAAGGGGAATGGGACTGACAGGAAAGAAAAGCCCATAAATCAATTCTATTGAATCTTACATATACAAATAGGTTATGAAGAGACTTGGCTTAGATAGCTTATAAAATCAGGTAAATGGAGAAAGTTGGCATGGTAAGAAAAAAAATGAATATTGTTTTAAGTCACCAACCAGTGAAGGAACAGAAAGGAAGACATAGACCAAATTATAAATCCCTCTTACTATAAATACACTGTATGTGAATAAAGTCATTGTTAGGAAGCCAAATAACAGGACATGGAAATTTTCAGAGAAATCTGATCAAATGAAAGAAACCTTTAAACCATTTAAAATTCCATAAAATTTTTCTAATGTAGGTTTTAAGTATACATTGCTTGCTTATTTACTGTTTGTCCCTTATAAATCCATTTCAAACAAATTAAATGTACATAGTCCATATAAATTTGCTCATGGAAAAGTATATTCATGTCTATATGTTAATGAAAGGTAGAATTGTCTAAAATATTGTAACTGCTGTGGAGTTAACTGATAATCACAGCTACTTTCAGAGGTCACTTCTCAGTGGTCATATTTTTAGATGAAGAAAAATTGTTCTTGGCCTTTTTTTTTTGCCAGAGAAATTTCCCAACAATTGATTAGTAGTTGGAAAAGTAACATATTACAATAGGGAACAGAATAATTGGAACATATGGCTATGGAAAGGAGGGGATACATAAAATCCTAATTTATGAGTCTTAGTGCAGAAGTTAATATATACCAAGTACTGAGTAAAAATCTTTCTATATTTGAGTTACTATTATTTGTCAATGATTTAAAGATTTACTTATTTCAAATATAAAAACAGAAATTTCATTGGGAAAATATATATATTTTTAAATATGCAGACAGGAGGTAGCCAATACTTTTTCCTTGGAGATATAGCAGCAAAATTCTGTGTTATGCCCTAGAAAGATAAAGTGAGGCAATCCTTGGCTTTCCACTTTCCCTCATACCTAGACTTCCTGCATGCATGGGTTTCCTTTTGACAAGAGAGAGGCATTTACATTTATTTACATATTCATTTTGGGCCAGTGGTGCTCAGGGCTTCCTTGTGGCTCTATGCTCAGGGATCATTCCTGGTAGGGTGTGGGGAACCATAGAGATGCCAGGGATTAAACCTGGGATGGCCCCATGTGCCAGACAGGTACCCTCCCTGCTGTACTATCGCTTTGGTCCTCAGAGAAATGCATTTTTAATGAAATGGTTCTGTATTCTTGGCCAAACACAAAGGGAGACCGAAGCAGGCCATTTCCAGCACTAGGCCTACCCATCTTGACAGGGTCCAACATTTCCAAGGATGAGACCTAGAGAGATTGATTCTGTTCTGAAGGCTCTGAGGAAATCTGATCCCTGACAGCAAGGTTTCTATTCTGAAAATGACAGACTTCCTTGTCTTGGCTGCACTGTCCTTCTGTACTTCCCCCACTGGCTCTCCTCAAGCGTCTGCTCACTGCCTGTGGCTTCATACTCGAGACACATTGGGGCCCTGCATTTTTTTCCCTAGTTACTCTCTTTAGCATCTCACTAACAAGCACATATGTAGTGCTGTCCTCAGCCTAGTTTTCGAGGCCCTGAGGGCCATATCTGCATCCCCACTTGTCCTTGGATGTTGAAACCAGTAGAGAAGTCAGCTCACAAGACCCCTGCCTGCACCTACAGTGGGGTTGGGAGCTGGGTCCTGATGAGCCCTGGGCTCATGGCACTCCCCAGGCAGCTGGCGTTTGTAGGCATCCTGGGCAGGTCTTCGAGTTTAACACCCAGGTGTCTCAACAAGGTGTGAGGCTGAAGTGGAGCCATGACAGACTGAAACTCAGTAGGCCTAAGTCTCAGTTTCCCCCATCAGAAAGTCCCGACTTCTCAGAAAACCATTATCACCTTATCCGCATGGAAAAGCCTGGGCAGATAGACCAACCCTGGGCAACTACCTATCAGAGTAGGGGGCTTGGGCAGCAGTGCCTAGCCAAGCAGAGAGAGACAATGAAGAGGAGTCACGGGACAGGACTGGGACCAAGAACTGGACACATAGCGTTGGTCCCTGGAGTCATACGACAGGACTAGGACCAAATTTGGGAACATATTGTCCGTTCCTGGAAAAATGCTGTTATGTAACCAAACCCTATATAACCTGCTCAGAATTCAGAGTTGGGGTCCTTGTCGAGACTCTACTGCATTGGATGAGACTTGGACCTAGCTCAAGCTAGCAATCAGGGGGCCTTGCATTTGCATCCTAGTGTCTGGTCTGGTGAATTTGTGAGCAAAATTCCCTTCCCAGGACATAACAAAGGAAGAAGGTGAGAGTGGAGATGTTCCTCGGCTTCCCACCCCTCAACCAGATGATCCTGAGGCCAACGCTCCAACCCCCCTTGGCTCCTCAGCTGCGGGAGCCCCAGCGCCTGACAACAGTAATCTGCATTCTTATCAGCTGTTGCCTTGCCTGCGTTGAGTCATGCTCCCTCTTCCTCATATCACAGTGGAATGATCTAAAAAACTACTTATGCCCAAATGCTTCTTTCCAGCACTGCTTCGGGCAAAGAGAAAAGATCCGGCCAAAGCAAGTGCTTGGCATCGCACTCCGGAATCAGCCGCACCCGATCCAGGCTGCACGCTCCTTTCTTCTCTTGAGGGCCTCTCTCTTCTCCCAGGGGAACCCTGAGACTCTCTGGAATGGTTGCTTCTTCTCTCCCCTTTTCATAAAATTTCTTTACTTAGGAAAAATAATGGGCTAGAGCGATAGCACAGCAGGTAGAGCATCTGCCTCGCACATGGCCGACCAGGGTTCGATTTCTCCGCCCCTCTCAGAGAGACCGGCAAGCTACTGAAAGTATCTCACCCTCATGGCAAAGCCTGGCAAGCTACCCATGATGTAGTCAATATGCCAAAAACAGTAATAACAAGTCTCACAATTTGTTGTGAGATGTTACTGGTACCCGCTCCAGCAAATCGGTGAACAAAGGGTAGGACAGTGACAGTGACAGTGGCAAGAAAAAAAAAAAAAGAAAAGGAGATTTGGGCTACGACAGAGACCTTATTAAAACTTGAAGTAGGTTAAATTTAAGGACTGGAGAGATAGGACAGTGGGTAGGGCATTTGTCTAGCATGCACCTTACCAAGTTTGATCCCCAGCAGCCCTGCCGGGAATGATCTCTGAGCACCATGGCCCCACACAAAATATATTCAACTCATAATCTAAAAAGCAAAGTTCCAACTTTTTTTTGAGTGTGTGTGTGTGTGTGTGTGTGTGTGTGTGTGTGTGTGTGTGTGTTGGGGGGAGCACATCTAGTGATGCTCAGGGTTACTCCTGGCTCTGCGCTCAGAAGTCACTCCAGGTGGGCTGCAGGAACCATATGGGATGCTGGGGATCAATCCCAGGTCAGCCACGTTCAAGACAAGTGCCTAACCCACTGTAATAGCTCTCTGCCCCCATCCTTGTCCCCAACCCCCAACTTCTTTTATCATCTATTCCCTATCTTCTTCTCTTTGGAGTGTTTAGGTGACTAAATATTTGGAGGGTTTTAATGACAGAGCTAAATTGCTCCTCGATTTATAGTGGCACCTCAAGTGGATTTTTAATTCCTTCTAATTATATAAGCATTTTAGTTATGCATTCCAGGATTATTGTAAGCAATAAATAAAGCACAAAAAGCACTTTTTACTTTGTCTTTGTCCCATTGTAATGCAACACTTCTTAATTTAGGGAACAATATACAGTTTTTGTGAGGTTTTTTTCCCCTCCAGTACTTACCTTGAGTCACCTTGAAATACAAGAATGAAAATCTCACATAATGATAATGTTCTCTGGTATGGTAAATTAATTAAAGACCAGAATTCTCATGAGCCTAGCATGAAAACAAGTACTGTACTAGAACACCTGGATTGTTAGTTTGCTTTGTTTGACTCCTAATATACAGAGCTCATAAAAAACAATAATATTCTCTTGGTCTATCTCATTTGAGAATTAGCACACAATAGACAATTCACTATACCAACAGAAAAAGATAATGAAATTATTTATGAAGCAATTTATGATGGAAATAGCATTCGCTATATTAGACAGAAGGGAAATTCAATGCAGAATCCTACAGTTTAAAGGTATGGTGTCAAAGGAAAATATTAATAATAGCATGTTCTGATCTATTGCTTCTTACAAACTAAATAAACCAGAGATTATATTGACTGGTTCTTAGTGACATTGCTAATGACTCCCATCCTTTGCAGTTCATCTTATATAATTCTCCCTTTCCTACACTTGATTTCTTCAATATGATTTAGGACTCGGAAGATTTACTGTTGATGGCAGTCACATTTCATTATAAATCATATCTTTGGCAGCTGGTGGATACTGAAAGTGTAGAACGAATTCAATATCTGCCTAGAATGAATCAAAAGGAACTGGCAAGCTCACCATTTAAATAAATCTAGCGTCCACGTGGATTTGCAACAACATTATTAGCACATGATTAATCAGTACCCAATGCAAACCAGTTCATACCAACATTTACTAAGTCATATTATCTTACATAAAAGTCCTGGGGCCCTATGAGAGGTCAGTTTGGAGTTTTGCTTTATATGATGGTACATTGTTAACTGCCATCTGCTCCGACAGCTGATGCGGTTTCCCATCCCTAAGTGGCCCCCCAGCTTTGCTCCGAGGAAATACTTGGTCCACGGTGTGGTGTCATGATTACACTTTCACAGCCTTTTGCTCTCCTTCCAAGGGAAGGGCACAACAACTTCCGTTCTGAGAAAATCCTCCATGGGGACCAATTAAATCATTTGTTAGAAAAGACTTGACTTACCTGGGGACCAGGCTGACCCTGAAATTAAAAAAAAGGAGATAAATTTAAATATTTTCCCTCTATTACAAAGAGAAAATAATTAAAAATCAGTTTTCTTAAGTCAATATTTTTGCTACCTAGAAAGACTTAAATTAATTGTGAAAATTTTGACATTTCTAAAGATATTACTGCCTAACAACTGAAAAATTTGACCTTGAAGTCTTAAGATCAAGCTACGCCTTAATAATTTTATTTTATGCTTTTGTCTAAAGTTTTCATATTATGGTATATTGTGTATGACTCAGGATATTAGAATATTATATGATTAAACTGGCAATGGTAAGCTCATATTTATTAGAATGAATAAGTTACTTAAAGCATATTTTTCTAAAACATTCTATCATTATGAACTACATATTCACAGATGATGAGAAAAAATGGTCAACATTTTTAGTTGTAGAAACCATTTTCTAATTTCCCATTTCAATCATTTTAAGTTAATATTTTAAAATAAACATCTATCTTTTACTTGATATGACTCTGACCAAGGCATTTTAAAGGGTATTCGAGGTCTTGGCTCTATTAATGGGTCAGACCCTCACACAGCCAATAGATTATATGAACTCTAAACAATCCAATTTGTTTTCAATGACACTGTTTAAGCTGATAAAAATTTCAGAGCAATATAATTTCAGAGGTTCCCAAACTTATTTGCCCCCCCATACCCTTTTTCAGAACACCAAAGAGAAAATCTTCATCCCTGTCCCCCATCCCCCACTGAAACCCATCTCTTTCATTTTTTTTTTGGTTTTGGGGTTCCTCCCTGCTTGGTGCTTGGGGGTCATTTCTGGCAGTGCCCAGGGAGCCAAATGGCACTGGGGATCAAACCTGCTCCTCTTATCTGCAAAGCATGCATTTAGACTCCCATGCTTTTTCTCTTCCCCAGAAACTGACCTTCTTTAAGTGAACAGAGAGTGGCCCTAAAAGTGGGCAAGCCTCCCCAGAAATTTCAGTGGCATCTTTCTTCTGGGAGTGGCACAGCCCACTTCAGAAAACAGTGATTTAAATGCTTCTGACTAAAAGAAAATACCCCATAAATAAAGGTATTGCTTATAAAACACCTTCTTAAGAGCTCCAATTGGACTTTGTGTAAGATCAAATTCAAAGCAAAAGTTCACATTGCATTAGGAAATATTTCCCCCCCAGGGACTCGAGGATTTGGGCCTCTCCAGGCTGTGTTTGTGGGGCTATTGTGCCTCTGTACTCAGGAGTCATCGCTGGCAGTGCCCGAGGGAATCTCACACTGTGCTGGAGGTGAAACTGGGACCAGCAGCATACAAGGAAAGCTCACCAGTCCAACATTAGGAAATCTTACAAAATAAATCCAAATCCTCTCATCACATCTACAGAAAATCATGAAGCTGACATGGCTTCCGGGAAGTTTCCCTCTTTATCTCAGTCCCTTCCTGGACTTGGAATTTCTTGCACCAGGAACAGTGCAGATGGTTTGCAAGAGATTTTTCTGGAAAGGTGGTTGACCAGACAGGTTTTATCTAACTAAACCAGGAAGGGAAGCCAAGCCAGCTTGATCTAGATATTACCCATGCTCTCCTGTACTCTTCAGTGATGAAGAGGGAGAAAAAGAACCACCGCAACTACTGTGCATTCCTTACTGAGAGCCTAACACTTTGGGCCACGTTATTGCATTCATTTCTTACAACACCCTAATATTTTACAAGAAGAAATGACCGGCAGCTCCTCAAATGGATATTTGCATCCCTGTGTCCAAAGCAGCATTATTCACAAAATGAAACCAACCTAAATGCTCATAGCCAGATGCTAGAAAAAAAAGCTGAGGTATACGCGTACTTCACGATACTTTGCACAAAGATGAAAGTAGGCCCTTAGGACAACATGGATAGGATTTGAGGCAGATGAACTAAGCAAAAGGAGGTGGAAAACACAATGACTAGAACGCTTCACTCCTAAGTGGACCAGGAAATAAGAAAGCAAAAGAAACGTCAAGAAACATAACTCACTGCTAGCCTCAGAGAGAGAGAGGAGGGAAGAAGGAAGGGAGAATGGAGGAAGAGGAGGAGAGGGGGTTCTCTGGTGGTAGGACAGCACGCTGGCTTTCCTTTTTTTTTTCAATTGAATCACCATGAGGTACAGTTACAAAGCTTTCATGTTTGAGTTTCAATTATACAATGATCAAACATCCATCCCTCCACCAGTGCACATTCTCTACTACCAATGTTTCCAGTATACCTCCCCCCTATTCAATCCTTCCCCCTGCCTCTATTGCAGACAATTTCCCCCATACTTTCTCTCTTCTTTTGGCTGGTGCTTCCTGACACTCTACAAATCTGCAAACAAACAAGAAGTCAATGAAACCATTACAACAAAAACACTAGCCAGAATGGGTATAGAGGGGACTTTCCTCAATATAGTTAAAGCCATCTACCACAACCCTACAGCAAACATCATCCTCAATGGAGAAAATCTGAGAGCCTTCCCCCTAAGATCAGGGACGAGACAAGGATTCCCACTCTTTCCTCTACTGTTCAATATAGTACTAGGAGTACTTGCAATAGCAATTAGGCAAGAAAAAGATATTAAGGGCATGCAGGTAGGGAAGGAAGAAATCAAGCTCTCACTATTTGCAGATGATATGATACTATACTTAGAGAACCCTAAAACCTCTACCAAGAAACTCCTAGAAACAATAGACTTGTATAGTAAAGTGGCAGGCTATAAAATCAACACCCCAAAATCCATGGCTTTCCTATATGCAAATAGTGAAAGAGAAGAAAGTGACATGAAGAAAACAATCCCATTCACAACTGTGCCCCAAAAAATCAAGTACATAGGAATCAGCTTAACTAAGGAAGTAAAGGACCTGTACAAAGAAAACTATAAAACGCTACTTCAGGAAATAAAAGAGGACACGAGGAAATGGAAAAATATCCCCTGCTCATGGATTGGGAGAATTAACATTGTCAAAATGGCAATACTTCCCAAAGCACTGTACAAATTCAATGCAATCCTTATAAGGATACCCGTGACATTCTTCAAAGTAATGGAGCAAACATTGAAAATGAAATTTATATAGAACAATAAGCTCCCAAGAATAGCTAAAGCAATTCTTGGGAAAAAGAAAATGGGAGGACTCAACCTCTCTAACTTCAAGCTCTACTACAAAGCAGTAATAATTAAAACAGCATGGTCCTGGAACAAAGGCAGAGCTGTAGACCAATGGAACAGAGTCGAATATACTGACATCTCCCCCCAAACATATGATCATCTAATCTTCGATAAGGGGGCAAAAAAAGTGAAGTGGAACAGGGAAATCCTCTTTAACAAATTATGCTAGCAAAACTGGATGGCTACATGCAAAAAAGTGGGCTCAGATCTCTGCCTAACGCCATGTTCAAAAGTAAGATCAAAATGGATTAATGACCTCAATATCAGATCGGAATTTATAAAGTTCATTGAAGACAAAGTTGTCAATACACTCCATGATATTGAAGCTAATGGTATCTTCAAAGATGTAATGCCACTGGCCAAGCAAGTGAAAACAGAGATAGATAAATGGGACTATCTTAAACTAAGAAGCTTCTGCACCTCAAAAGAAACAGTGACCAAAATACAAAGACAGTCTACAGAATGGGAAAGGATATTCGCCGAATACACATCTGACAAGGGGTTGATATCAAGGACATACAAGGTACTGGTTAAACTCCACAAGAAGAAAACACCCAACCCCATCAAAAAATAGGGCAAGAAAATGAACAGAAACTTTTGCAAAGAAGAAATCCGAATGGCTAAAAGGCACATGAGAAGATGCTCTATATCATTAATCATCAGGGATATGCAGATCAAAACAACAATGAGATATCATTTCACACCACAGAGACTGACTCACATCCAAAAGAACAAAAGCAACTGGTGCTGGCATGGATGTGGCGAGAAAGGGACCCTCCTTCACTGCTGGTGGGAACGCCGACTGGTTCAACCCTTTTGGAAAACAGTATGGACAATTCTCAAAAAATTATAAATTGAGCTCCCATTTGACCCAGCAATACCACTCCTGGGAATATATCCCAGAGAGGCAAAAAAGTATAGTTGAAGTGACATCTGTACTTGTTTGTTCATTGCAACACTCTTTACAATAGCCAGAATCTGGAAAAAACCTCAGTGAGGAGAACAGATGACTGGTTAAAGAAACTTTGTTACGTTTACACAATGGTGTACTATGTAGCTGTTAGAAAAGAGGAAGTCATAAAATTTACATACAAGTGGTACTACATGGAAAGTATCATGTTAAGCGAAATGAGTCAGAAAGAGCGGGGTAGACACAGAAAGATTGCATTCATCTGGGGAACATAAAGCAACAAAATGGGAGAATAACAACCAGGAGTGGCTGAGATTAGTACCAGGAATTTTGCTCCATGACTTGGAGGCCAGCCACACGTGCTAGGGGAAAAGGAAGCTCAGATAGAGAAGAGAGCACCAAATAAAGGGTATTGGGAGGATCCTCCCAGGGTGGAAGAAGAATGCTAAAAGTAGTCGATAGACCAAACATGATTGCCATTCAATGCCTCCCTTGCAAAACACAGGACCCAAAAGAAGAGAGAGAACAAGGGGAAATGCCCTGCCACAGAGGCAGGGTGGGATGGGAGGGACGGGGGGTGGGAGGGATGCTGGGACCCGTGGTTGTGGAGGATGGACACTGGTGGAGGGATGGGTACTTGATCATTGTATAACTGAAACCCAAGCACAAAAAATTGTAAGTCTATTACTGTACCTCATGGTGTTTCACTAATAAAAAATAAATAAACTCAAGCCTTCTTCCAAAGTTTGTACACATCCCAGCATGTTATTCCATTGTACAGGATGGAAGTTCAAGTTCAGAGTCACCTGCAACCTTGTGTAAATCACCAACAGGACCAGAACCCCCTGAAAATGAGAGGACACTCTCAGCAACTCAACTCTCCCTCCTGGCCCTCACAATATTGGTCTCCCAGAAGGATGCAGCC